ATTGAAGAGGCATTTAGAAATTTTGACATTGAAGAGGCAATAAAGATCGTCGCAGTGGTTAGAAGAGTTTTCCCGGTGGCCGAATTGTTGTACATTATGTTGAACAGCTGCGCTGGAAAGGAAGATAGGGTAGTGTACTCACAATTTAAAAAGAGATACAATTACGAAGAAGCAGAGCAATTGTGTGACACATTGAGGTTCCATATAAAGTCGGTGAACCCAAAGGGTTGTGGAACGTACTGTGAGACGTGGACATTCTCCGATAGCCCGGTGTGTTGGGAATCACATCAATTCTTTGATGAATACAATGTGGGGCCATACATTGTAGAGCGGTGTATCGATTGTATATACTTCTACTTGTCTAGAGATATAATGGAAATGTCTTAAGTTAAACATGAGCTGTGATTAGAAATGTTATCAAATTAGATGAGTTAGATGTATTGCTCGAGCCTTGGTCATTGTGTTTTAATAAAAAATTATAATTTGGTGAGTTAGATGTATTTTTGATCATTGTTTCTTGTGGTTTGGTAGTGAATTTCGGAATGGAATTTATTTAATAATTAATAAATTATTAAGAATTAAAGTCTGATGGTGGCATGCCCTAGAGTAAATTGTTAAATCCAATACTGAAGTGGTTTGATATGCGTAGGGTTAATGATTCCCGAGTAGAAGGGGTATAGCAATTCGAAAGCTATACTGGTGATATTGGGTAGGGGAAACTACCGCCAAAAAGTGTTGAGAAACCATGTGCAGTTTGGTTAGCTCAATATCCACGTGGATTGTACTTACTTCTCTTTGATAAATGTATTCTTAATTTTCGAGATTTGACCTTTTCATTGACTTTAGGATCTGACGCATATTATACTGTGGAAAGTGTAGGACACAGCTTGTCTTGTCTCATTAATGTAACAACGTAATATGAAACAGTGATTTATATTTTTTCATAAATATGTTTAAACAATTATTATGAAACAGTCCATCTTGCGTCAATCCACGGTAGGATATTTGGAGGGAAGTTTTGCCGCCACAACATGCCACAAACCTAAAAGTACCCCAACATGCCACAAAACCCAAAAGTTATTCCCCCAAGGATATGTAGAATATCCACGTGGATAGAATATAGTTATTATTGCTGAGTATATAAGTGAACTTTTCCTAATATCTAACAATGTCAAATCTCTTATCAATAACTAATAGGAACTAACTAATATTTGTAAAATATTATACTTCCCATTTTTAACCATGATTTGAAATCAACAAGAACGAACCGGTCTTTGTATGAAGTCATAGTTTCGAGCTATTATCATTAACAAGTCATCAACCCTTGTATACTCAGCATATAATCCATTTTCTTATATCCAGTACATTATATCCACTACATTATATCCATGTGTTTAGATATATATATTTTAAACAAATTAATATAAAAAAAGTGGGGAATTAGCTAAAAACACGAGTTTAGGTTAAACGTAGATGTTTAATGGACTCTATAAATAGTTCCTAAACCAATGCACAACCTATCCAAATAGAACATTTTTATTGTCATTCTGATTATGATTGGCGATTCACAAGAAAGCTTAACTATGTGTGGAGTACTCGAAAGCGATGAAGAGAGCCAGGGTTCAAATGTCGTTGAGGTAGTTGTTATGTGTTTTTATAATAATGCTAATCTAAGAATGATTTCTGAAAAAATTTGTTTTTGTTTGGTAGGAAATCCCAATGAGGGAATTTCACATTCCTCAGCCGTTGATGGAGATCATCGTGAGTAAGGTTGGAGAAGATGGTGTTGACGCGTTGAAGAACTTGTTGCTCGCTGGGAGAGAGGGGAAGGATGCTGTTCTGTCGAAGAAAACCTTGGCATCTGTTCGGATTGACATGGATAATCATTTCATGTGGTGGTCAATGCCACATTCAAAGTACTACACTTTCTTCCAAAAGTGTCTTGCTGCGAATAATCCGTATGCGAAGTTTGTAGAGAAGAACAAAGGACTGGCTTATGAGTCGACGATAGGTTACTTTCAAATGAGATGCCGTTGGAAGGTCTGCCACGAAAAACGCTTAGGGGGTTTGATGGACCTGGATGACATGAAAAGGTGCGTGGTGAAGCCACCTATGAAGCGGGAAAGAGTTGGGAGGCCAAGGTGCCGAATGTGCAATAAAGCTGGGCACAGGTGTATGGATTAAGGATTGTAGGATGGTGGCGGGATGATGGGGTAGAGTTCATGAAATTAATTATCAACGTTTATTGGAATGATATTTGGCTATATCCAACATATAATCGGGATGTTGTATTTTGCTTTTTGTAGAACGGGAATGTAAAACATTTAAGATTGTTGGGATGTTTTAGCTAAAGTTGCTGTAAGCACATTGTCTAAGTCCATGTAATGGTATCCATGTAATCATTAATTTTATATTTTAATCCTCTAATCTTTTTCACAAATGTTTTACTTTAGTATTTATGTTATATTTGGTGTATGTAATCCTCTAATACTCAGATAATAGGAAAGAGGGGGAAAACTCCCGCCAAAACAAAGAAAAATATTTAAATTGTTGAATTTAAAATATATAAAGAAAACTATTTTATGAAGTGTATCCACGCACTATAATCCATTGAATAATTAACCAGAAAATGATATCCATGTGTAAAAGATATTTATATTTTAATCCAAATCAATTATAAAATTATGAGGTTAGGGTGCAACAAATAGGTTTAATAAAGTCTATAAATAGGATATAAACTGTAACACAACCTAATCCAAAGATCAGATATATGTATTTCTTGTTAAAATGGGCGAATTACAAGAAAGCTTATCTATGGGAGGTGTACTCAAAAGCTATGAAGAGAGCGAGGGTTCAAATGTCATTGAGGTTGTTGTAATTTATTTTTTAAATAATGCTAATATCAGAATGATTGTTTACAAAAATCTGTTTTTGTTTGTTAGGAGGTTCCTATGAGGGAATTTCACATTCCTCAGCCGTTGATGGAGATCATCGTGAGTAAGGTAGGTGAAGATGGTGTTGATGCGTTGAAGAATTTGTTTCTCGCTGGGAGAGAGGGTAAGGATGCTGTTCTGTCGAAGAAAACCTTATCATCCGTTAGAATTGACATGGACCCTCATTTCATGTGGTGGTCAATGCCACATTCAAAGTACTATACTTTCTACCAAAAGTGTCTTGCCGCTGATAATCCGTATGCTAAGTTTGTTGAGAAGCACAAGGCACTGTGTTATGAGTCGACGATAGGGTACTTTCAGATGAGATGCCGTTGGAATGTCTCACATGATAAGCGCATGGTGGATGACATGAATGTGTGCGTCGTTCAGCCACCTTTTCAGCCGGGAAGAGTCGGGAGGCCAAGGTGCCCTAGGTGCAAGAGAGTTGGGCACAAATTCAATAGGTGTGTCGATTAAGTTATGGAGGATGTAACCGGGATGTTGGGGTAGAGTTAATAAAAGTATTAACAATTTTTTGTGGTAAGTTATTTGGTTATAATCCAATATGTAAGCGGGATGTTGATTTTGGTTACAAATTACGTTTTAGTTTGTTGGGGAATGTAAAACACTTAAGAACTTTGTTTGCGTCCACTTAATGTTATCCATATTGTTTCTTAATGTTCAACTTGCCAGCAATGAGTATATCCTTATGTCCAAAAATTGTAATCCATAAAATCGTTATTGTTGGGGTACTAACCTTTATAAACTTTGTCAATATGCTGGTCAAATTTAGGTTAAAGAATTAGAGTCTCGGGCCATGGGTTGTTATCCATATAATAGTAATAAAATATGTCGAATCAAAGAAAAGTTGCCCTTTTTTTGGTTGGAAAGCATGGTCGAAGAAATTATAGTCTGCTGACAGGAAAAGTAGCTTAAAAGTAACGTGTCCATAAACGAGCATCGGACGTAGCAAAAGCTATTGATGTGTTGTGTCACTCTTCAAGCATTACCCAATAGATAATACAATGTAAAGGGTGTCAGTATTGGCTAACGTGATGTATCTGGCCTATGACGTACGAATAGGTTATACAGCAACATAAATGAAAGATTTTTATAATTATGACTTAGTTGACAATTAGAAAGTTTAAATTTATAGTGTACGTGAAATGATGGCCTAAACTGAAGCTATATAGATTTTGTTTTTTTATTTTTTATTTGGACTGAAAAATTGAAGGTTGCTTGAATATCAATAAGTACAGTTCAAATCAGACAACAAGTTCTAATCGAATTTTTTTCCAATTAGAAAATAATTAAAAAAAGTAAAAAAATAAAACAAATAAGATAGCGAAAACAACAATGTTTTTCAGACATCTGATCTGGGTTTTCAAGTCTTCAATATCTTTCTGAAGAACAGAATCATCCAACCGCGTCTCCTTCTTCAAAGTGCTAATGTCGGAATCACAAATATTTAACCCTTTTTGCAATGTTTGTGTAGCTCTCTCAATGTCATCGACTTTTTCAATCAACACCTCAATCTCTTCTACCAAACATGTATCCGTCCATTTGAACAAATGGTACCTATTATCCTGTGTATCCGGTATTAGTTCTGATATGAATTTAGCAAAAATGATTTTAGTTAGTTCATATACTTACAGGGGATCCCAAAGGACATGCATAAAACAAGCGACCAGGGTTTCTTGGAGTTGCTGAGGTTTTCATCACAACTTCCTCGCCACAACGGCAGAGTTTCGGGATACCTCCAAATTGATCTACCATTTTCTTGTTTGGACCTTTACGGTGGCGAACCTGAAAAAGCTTGTTATGGTGAAATCCCTAGATGTTTAGAATATATTCCCAATTATGGACGACGTCGTTTTTGGTAAAAGTTGAAAAGGAGTAATTCCAATAACTGACATAATATAATTCGTATTAATTTGTTTGTGATTCGTATTAATTTGTTTTCATACATTATTTTAACAGAAAACCCAAAGCTGATAAATCGGAATATGTTATCCGTGTGGTCTGTACTCAATGGATTGCAGTACTAGCCAAAAAAAAAAACGGTCACATTTCGAATATCATTTATTGAAACGCAACTACAGATAAAATACACGATTGATAATCGAATGTATTTATCGAATATCATTGTAATAGTCCATTAATACATAGCCACATTTGGAAAAGGAGATTTATATTAAAAATCTATTATCTAACACAAGTCATGGATTTGAAAGACATAAAATAGCACAAAGCAAGATGGGCAAACATCTAAACCCCCGTAATGGACTAAACCACAAGGTGGTATAACGTGTAAGCCCCTGTACCCTCGGTAAAGATGCTTTCCTGTTGGACCCATGTCTGATATCTGAGTCATCACCTGGTCAGCGCAATTAATAGCTTCTTCGAAAGTTTGAAACTTCTCCAAATACTTTTGGAGAATCAAACTTCCTTCAGATGGATTTCCGCATAAAACATAGAAAATGCCAAAAGCAAAATAGGAATGAATGTTATGAATTGCAGCTTCACCAAGCATATCAAGAGATTGAACAGAAGGGCCAACAAGGGCAGCTAGTCTTAATCCTTCAATGTATTTGGCAGTGTTGTTGTTAGAATGTAGACATCTAAGCAGAAATGGGCGGTACGGTGACCCTTCAAGGCACAAAGATGGGACAGATACAAACTCCTCAAGACCAACCTCCTGTAATACTTCATCAGAAAAAACAATGGCTGACAATTCAGGGCCAGCAGCGATGAATGGACCGAGATGACGAAAACCAGAAATACCAATCCGACGAACTATGTCTGTAACCAAAGGAAAAGGAATGTAAGAGGACATATAGAAAAAAGAACAGAGTTAGAACGATCGGAATAAAGAAAGATTTTTGGAGAACTGATATTTGCCCACAGAAAGCGATGAAGGAGATGAAGTCGGAGACCCTAGTTTTATAAGGTTAAAACCCAAATTTAAACGCAGCGTTTTAATAAGTTGTTCATTGTGGACTGTACTGATGAATCCATTATACTCAATCCACAGAAGTCAATAACAGGCCTACGAGTAAAACAAACAGAGACAAATAACTTGAATGGAATGTGTCCATGTAAAGAAATCCACATCACATAGTTTATGCTAGAATAATACTAGATGATAATGTTGTTTTTAGAATAATAGAAGTGGTAGCCGAGAAGTATGTTTTTAGAAAATAGTTAAGGAGATTAAAACAAACAATTTATACAACAAATTACATAGATTAGTAGTTGAGCTACCTATTTGTAAAGAGGAGCCACAAGTTCTTGAAACAGATCTATAGCGTATTGACCCCTGAAATCATCAACAATTTCATCAGTTATAAGAGCCATTTTCTCTGGACCTCCACCATTGGCGTATATTTCGATGAGCTTCATGGCCACAGGTCCACAGTCCCCACATCTCTCGTTGACATAGATCTCTTTCATTCTTGTCCATCGGAAAGGAGCCAACCCATGTTCCTGACTCAGACGTGGCTTGCAAAATTTGTTAATTATATACGGGATTTGGACCAAAATAGGTGCCATGTACTCTTCAACTTTGGCATCATCGTTTAGAGGGTAATTTGGATCAAGTATGTCGACACACCATGTGCCTAAGTTGATAGCCAGACCTACCCAATGCTGGTTTTTCCATATCATTGGCATGAAGATAAGATCTATTTCTTCAAACCATTCTGATGGAGATCCAGGAATAGCCCTCTTGAACTGTTGATTCCATTGAACACGCAACTTTTGTTTTGCAGCTAGGAAAGAAGAGTACTTTCCCTGTAGGTAGTTGCCTAGCCATGGTTTGATGATTACAGCGCGTTCTTGAGAGAGGGCCAATCTGTGCCTTTCATTTAGGAAAGATCCTAGGACCTCCATGTGCTGCAAAATGATAGAAAAGAGTAAGTGGAATAAGCATATTGAACATTGGGGGAAATTAATGTGATTAATTATGGGGAAATGTTTTACCATGGTATCAACCCAATTGGTTGGCTGGGCAAGCTGGACTAGGAATTTGTTGGTTATCACAGTATCACCGCGGGTTAGGTGTTCCCTGAAATTAGAAAATAATGTTAGACAGTAAAAAAAAAATTAAAAGTAAAAGGAAAAGGAATGTCATTACGTATGTGGTGACTTTCGAAGTGTGTCCATGAAGACTTTGAATAATGATTTGTTCAAACGAGGTAAGAGGTCATGTTGTTTTGTAGGTGAGTTTTGGGGAATATTTGACACCAACGCAACAAGTTTGGCCTCATTGTCAGACAAAGAAGTTGGCTTTCGTTCTCTCGCAGGAGATGAATCACTCACATCAACAACATCTCCAGTTTCGACAGCAGAATCCTGAGATGTTTTAAGAAAATTAAGGATAACATAATGAGAAAGCCATCATCATTTTCAATATGAGCATCTTTTTGGAGGAGGGTAAATTGAGATTATACCTCATCATCATCATTTTCAATATCATCATCTTTTTCTTGTTCAGTTGCTGCGGCAATCTACGTGAGAAAGAAACAAGGGGTAAGATATTTTCTAATTGGGCATAAAGTATAGATTTAAAAGAGGAGGGTCAATTTTTGGAGGATAAATAGAGGAGGTTTCAATCTGGTGACAGGTTGTTAGTGGACATTACTTAAACCACATATCCACATGGATACTTCGCAAATTAAAAAGTATTGTCTAACAATAACGTATCCACGTGGACAGGGAGTTTAAAACTTACCTCGGAGTGTTTTACCAAAACAAAATTTGGTAAAATGACATCAGATTGACCCTCTTGTGGTGTTATCTGCAACGTAATAGATCATCTTGTTTAACATTTGGTTTTATGGAGTGTTGTTATTTATTTTGTTAGGTTTGAAATAAATTATAGTAACTTTTGTTAATGAAGATACATAGGTTCCACATATTGAAGTATTAACTTATTAATGAAGCCATCAAAAATACAGCTATCCACGTGGACAGCCTGGGTTAAAATACCTCAGTGTTTTGAAGATTAGCAGAATTTGATATAATATCATCAGAAAGGTTAGGAACAGGTAGATCATCTTGAGGGGTTATCTGCATCGACAATTAAATTGGTTTACTATTAGAATATATGGAATGAGGCTTGAAACAAATCTTTAAAGTTGGAGTATGGTAAAAGGATACCTTTGCATCAACAACAGCAAGAGGCTCTTCTTCTGATGGTAAGGAATCCTCAGCTGCAGCAGCAATAGTAGGACTTATGGACTTGCAAACTGATTGAACCAATGTGTCAACATTATCGGCCAAGGACAAGTCTCCTATGTTGAGCTCCTGGATAAGATTGAAAGTGGTAAAACATTAAGCAGATGAGTAACATCAATTATGAGAATCTCAAACAATAGATAAACTACTTAGTTGAGATAAACCTCAGATCCATCAATAGAAGAGGGTTTCTTTGCAGTATCGAATACAGGTGGAAGTTGAGGAGAAGGCAGAGGCTTGTGTGTAAGATACCCAAATGTGGAAAATGTAGTTAGGTATAAAATAGTTAAATATTTTGATATAGAGACAGAAATTTGTAAAAAATACCTCGTCTCTAAGTTTTGACTCAGTGTCATATATGGGTTGACCAGACTGTTGATCCTCTGTGCTATCAGCAGATAAATACTTTAATGGAGATTCATTCTGAAAAAGACAACAAATCTATGGATTAATGATCCATGGTAGGTAACAATAGAGACATAAATTTTCAAATCCCAGTACCAGATGGTTTTGAGGGGAAGAAATCTTCCCAGGATTATCACCCTGTATGAAGAAAAAATGTGATAAGTGTATGAGTTAAGAAAACAATGTAAAAATGTGATGTTTGGGAGCAAAACCTCAACAACTTCATTGACTGTGCTATTCATCTGCATAAGAGGGTTAAATAACTTAATTAGTGACTGTGATAACCCAATATAGAAGCATTATATTGGATGAAGAGCCACTGACCTGCTGAGAAGTTATTAGACGCCATGTGTAATCATCAACAAGAAGTGAAGGTTCTCCTGAAACTGCATTCTCTTCCTCATGCATTGAAGTTAATGGACTTGAAGGAGGAGTTGGGATGTTTTGAGTACCTACAGCAGCATTCTCTGGAGATTCAGATATATTGGGATGTTTAGCTGCTATGCGTACTTTCCTTGATGGAGCACAAGTTGACTGTCTAGCGCGTGAGAATTTGTGAAATTGAAATCTTGGCATCTTCAGAGATCTCAGGGCCTTGATCTTTTTCAGAAGATTCCGATTCTGACCTCTTAACTTCTGAACATTCTCCGCAAATTCATGTCTTATAGCATCCAACCGCGAATTCACCCACAGTTTTATATCACCTGCCTCATCATCATCAACCAACTCAAACTTACGCTTCCTGCCTCGCCTTGAAGTACCGACATTCGATTTTGATTGACTTCCCTTTGAAGGAGTTGACGTATGTTTCCTTTTCCTGTTAACTATATGCTTCTTGTGTTCAACAACTGGGTCCTTTTCATTGACAGAAATGAGATTTAGTTCAGCATAGCCACCAGGCCACTCCTTTTTGGTGAATTCATGACATTTCCTTATCTGCTCAATCAAAAAAACAACTTTCTTGTCTCTCACTTCATCATCCCACTCTCCCCATCCATCTTCGTTGTGGTCAACAAACAGGAACAGAGTAACAACCAACTGAAGAATCAAAGACAGATAATGAGAACACATAAAAGTTAAAAATTTACCCAAAATTATATAAATGTTTGAAACAACTTACATCAGGAGCACGTTCAAGGATATGAACTTCATTTAGGGTAAGATTGTTTTTGGGGATCCCAATTGAATGCCATTCCAAGAAGGTTCTCTCATCTGAAGAACCTGGAATCTTCTCCAGTAGACCAGATATGTTCCTATATGCAAGCAGTTGCAGGCCCAAAGGAAAGCCATATATAGCTATAGTTTGCTGTTGCATCTGTTCTGCAAATAGCTGGATTGGATCTTCAATCTTGCTATGTGCGCGGGACCTTTTTCTCTTCGCACCTCCCACTGAAGGTTTGTTTCTTCCAGGGCTCATAACCTGTATGGTCTTGAGGAAAGATTCTCTCCCCCATGGGAAAGAAAGGAAGGATTCAATGTTTTCCAACATCTGGACATACTTATAGGTTGGCCGATGAGTCTGATTATTGGCTATTAGGACTCCATCAACAATAAGCAAAAGAGCTAGTGGCAGTTTCAAAGGGGACTCAATCCCTTTTAATGCCTGGAACTTGACGGATAAATCAGCTAACGTAGTATTCTTATCTTTTCCTATCAACACATCCCAATAATCCTTAACCCCATTAACACGTTTTGGGGATAAATCTGGATCATACTCCTCAGGGAATTCACCACAAGGCAAACCAGTGACATTCCCAAACTCAACTAAAGAGAATCTTAGTGGCTGTCCACCAAAAACAGTCCACATTTCATACTTTTTTTTTGTAATCAGTTGTCTACATAACAACGCGTGGACTAATTTGCAGGAAATAGGACATTCGCTAACCCTTAAACTAAAAAGCGAACCAAAACACGAATCTAAGAGAGTTTCCATTTCCTTTGTACCTTGAAGAACATCACAAATCACAGTGAGGATATCGGGTCTGGAGTATATATTGAGACGGGCTTCTGGGTATCGGTCCGTTGCAAAGAGACGGGGAGGGAGTCGGGTATCGAAGTCAATTGTATCGACTTCGGCCGGAGCTGGTTCAAATTAGGCAGTTATTGACAGAGAAATGAAGTAGATAACTGAAAAACAGAACATAAATTACAAAAACATATATCGATTACCTGCCATTGATAACTGTAAGGAGAGGTAAGTAAAATCAACGGATTTGAATGTCGCCGGATTTGGAATTCTAGGTTTAGAAAGAAAAGGAATTATGATGTAAACATATACTTTTGAAGTTCTTAGATCTTGAGCTGAAGTTGAATTCCGGGAAGACGTATTGGTGGATGAGAACGGACAAACGGAGGCCGATTTAACGCCGACGCCGTCACCGGAAGTAATTTGGATTTAGGTTACAGTGAAGAAAAGTTTTACGGGTTGCGTTAAACTAGAGGACTGTAATAATTATTTTTTTAAATGCTTAACCACTGACCTTGTAACTATGGTTAACGAAAATATGAGGGGCTTTTGGTAAAAAAACTTAAAAAACTACCCACTACCCCTAAACTACTCTACAAGTCAATTGAGTTTCCAAAAAGTACCCCATAATGTAAAATTTCCTATTGTAAATCCTTTTTTTTTTTTTTTGTGAACAAACAATTAAGTTTACAAAGTTTTTCTTAAACAATTACGAGGAAGTAGAATCAAACTCTCATGCTCAATTTTTTGACAAAAAAAAAAAAAAAATCTCATGCTCAATAACATGCAGATAATACAATGCCACTTCACATAGAAAAAATTTGTAAATTCTTCTTAAATAAATAATAATCGATTATGGCAGATTAGAGCATTTGTTTAAAATCTTTAACAAAAAAAAAAAAATTTAAAAAATTCGATTTAATATCTTGGACCATACAAACTCAAAAACCAATTACACAATTTGTACCATTTTAGAAATTTCAAATTCTAAATTTACCTCATTTGATCCATGTGGACAATAAAAAGTCTTCATGAGTTTTTTTTTTGGAATCATAGATATCCTCATCACAACAAATTTACCACATATGCAAGATTTCGGTAGGTTTTTTTCTCTTTACCATTTTTGCAATAAATTTTATTCAAAATCGAGTAACAAACAATTTAGAGAGATGCATGAAAAACTAAAATCGAACATATATCTACTATAGATCTTTGACAGAGAAGATGAAGCTCACGAATCACGACAATAGATTCCTCTAGGTGACATGAAGAATTGAACCCTTAAATCACCGGTTATATATTTTCTTCAATTCTGTTGAGCCAAACGGTGTTATTTAGTGTGTTTGAAAAAAAACCATGACCAAAACGATGTTGTTTGGTTTGTTGAATAAACGTTTTAGACCAACGTCTTTTGATAATTGTTCTAATTGGCATTTAGTCAACAACTCAACACATTAACATATTGACTTAATTACGGCATTTTGGTCAATACAATTTTGCTTAATTTTATTAGTTCATCATATAGGCACCAGCGCTTCTATATTGTAGTCGTAAGGTTTAGTAACTTTAGTTAGCTACTCTTAATTAATTAATTTCTTCGCGTTGGCAATAGTTTGTGAAAGAATAGACCATTTTCCCTCGTGTAATACATTTGTAAACATCATTAACAAACGAAAAGCATGTTCAACACAAATAAGAAAAAAGTATTATCATACATTAAACTTTCACGTGAATTGTAAGAAACAAACAAAGAGTGAAGAACAATGCGTAGGGTGAAATAGACTAACAACTTCGGCCATACGACGAAGCAAACTTGAGCAGACAATTTCATAATCAGTTTCTCTTTAAACTTTCATCAGCCTTATTTATAAATTATGTATAATCAAAAAATATAATATTAGGGAAGCATAAAAACTTTTTATTCCAGCCCGTCGGTCCTTTTTGCGGCCACCGACTGTTTTTGCATTGAAAAGATTCCAACAAATGTTTTCTTTTAGAGGGAATAGATGCTTCCAATTTTCATATTTTATTGAAAACCACTAAGAAATAAGATGTGTGTTTAACATGGAATCTGAGCCACATGTAAAATTATCAATAAGAAAGAGGGTTTGAGTATCTATCTTGTAATTATCTAAAATGTTTCGTGAATACAAAAATACAACAAATTCGATTCTCTTGGAGTGAAAGTGTTTTGAGTAACAACAACTAAAAAGAACTTAATATGGTTTATGTAGCTAATAGTTTTAGTTAGCAACATAAACTATACTACAGTAACACCCAAAACTATTCAACACAACAAACAAAGTGCTGTCATACTTTGGTTTGGCAAACGAAAATCAATGAAATTTTATATTCAAAATCTGGAATTGGGGAGTGTGGGAGCATTGCATCAAACAAGAAGTGTAGTCAAAAATATCAAATCCAATGAAAAAAGAATGGAACACTTCTACGGTATTGGTGACTCGGTATCTTTGGCAGGTCCCATGTAAACAGTGTAGCTTACCGATATGAGAACGAGCAAACACCCAACAAGCCGGCTAAATAAACCTGGTGATCCTGCTTTTCCCGTGCTGACTATCCATAACTGCGATAACACCACCTAATACGAGAAAGAGGCTAATTAAAACAAAGTCTTGCTGCTTCATCATTATGCTCTAATCCTGTTCAACCCATCTTTTATCTTAAGCAAACCCAAACCAAAAAATCAATGAAAGAAATGAACCTACTAAACAATATAGACTAATTTTATTGCATTTCCAAACCGTAAACAGGAAATAAACCGATAAAATTAACTTGATTTCTTTGAACTGAAACCCAGGCTGAGGCCCCTATATACCCTTAAACTGTCTTCTATGGAAGTGGAAACCTACCTCAATGTACAATACGTTCGCAGCTTTGCTGATTTTCTCAAGCTGAAGACCACGTGCCAAAAGTACCTTAAGACAATGGAAAAATATTCTCAGCAGTCTAACTATGCGAGTTGCCTACACAAATGTGCGGAAGCAGAACATTAGTGAATGCCTCACCTCTGCGCAGAACGCCAGCAACCCTAGCACAATCATGCTAATAAGCGTGTCAAACGCTGGCAGCACGAAGCTCTGTATGAGAAAATTCAAGGTTATGGATCATGAGTATGAGTAATGATCAAACAACAGATCAGTGACTGCATTCTACATTTGGTGCAGATGAATATACCCAAAGCATACCTCGAAGGAAAACATGCAAATTGCTGCAGCGGGGCAAGCTACCAAACCAAACGAGAAGACAGTAATCCTGTGAAAATGCACATCATTGTTTTATCCTTCCTAACAACAGAATTTTCGCTAAAGAAGTAAAACATGTGGGTTGATGACACATCTGAATCTTAAATCTCACACTGGCTGTTCCGATGCTTTAGCAGCTGCCTTTATGAGACAATAGGTGATTCCTCCAGTGATTGATGAAAATAAACCCAACAAGAACGCATAAATATGATGGTTTCCTTTAGAATTTTCATTCGTTCCTTCTGATCCAACTGCCAAGAAAAGATGAATGAATCAACATGACATCTTCGTTTCCTCATGTATAAAGGACAGTCAGGAGAAGTTTTATTAAGAGAATAAATAGAGAACTATTTTGTTAACTCACTTCTGTACCTTGGACAGTAAGTGTTGGGCCAAAAATAAAAAGCACGCCAAAGAAACTGCAAGCAAGACCTGGACCAACGCGCAATAAAAGAGAAGTCATATATAGACTTGCTTTGTATGCATATAAAGTCATAAATAGGCTAAGGGGAAAATCTCTATACCTCCGATATCAGTTATTTTCAACTTCTCATGCATAACAACACGTGCTGCAATGGAAGCCATAATTGGATTCAAGAAGCTTAGTACAATAGCTTGGGACAACGGTAACATTTGAATGCTGTGGTTCACAATGTCAATAACAGTGAAAAACAGTGTTAGAAGTCTTATTTTGCTACCAATGACAAATTGATTAGTGGGGAATGGACACTGTTCCTAATAGCTCGAAAGATATCGGTTTTCAATATAAATTTATCAAACTAATTGCTTCCTGAGAAGCTACTGAAAGTTGGTTATCCGTACACATGGAGCAGAGTGTGAGAAGTAAATACCTAAAGATGAAACTAAACAATGAAAGGTAACCAACAAGGGCTCTTGAAACCAAAAGCTTCCTGGCATGCGCAGGTCCAAAAATTGGTTGTCCAATTCTTTTCAACCAAAGGTATGACAATATCAAGATAATTGTGCATCTCATGAACGCGGTCTCAAACAAAGGAATTGGCTGAACTGTCATAAACAAAGCAAATTAGAAAAAAGAAAATCTATCAATATACTAATACACATGTCAGCCCAAGGCAACACTAAAACG